ACACACACACACACACACACACACACACACACACACACACACAGCTCATTATGTACCATGGTCACTGACCAAAAAACATCCAACACTAACTATTCATTGCGATCTCTGGTTTTAACCCACCCACTGTGTCACTAATATTTTTGGAATATCTTTGGGATCTCGTTCCAATTCTCTTAACATCTGAGAGAGTCAGACGACTACTGAACGCCCGTGTTCGACCCTTGCAATTGCCTCGAGTGCACTCAGGTGCGCTGTGGGATTTTTTCATTCAAATGTAAACGTGATGAATAAAAACATCAGTTTATTGTTTTGTAAGCTAATTAAGATTCCACCTTCCAAAATGTAGTATTCCTATTTGTATTCATATTTGAATATATTCAAGCCTTATAAGGGACAACATATTAAACTTAACACTGAAACAACCCGAACTGGGGCAGAAATAGTACAAAAGTGGTTGAGAGTTTCACACAGATAGTGAAACATCATCATTCCTGATTATCTCTGACCTCTCTATGGGTTATCTGTGGTATTTGGGCCTGCTGAGGCGATTTGGAATTCATGCAGTTAAGCCTCAGGTCTGTTTTCAGATGATCTGGCTCAGAATATGAGAAATTTTACATGTTTGAAATTCAGGCTACGCTGTTATCTCCTGGCAATCTGCTGCTTGAACTGAGACTGTGCATGTGTGTGTGTGTGAGAGAGACACATCTTGGGCATATTTTACATATGGGCATGCATGAGAATGAATATCACTTGTATTTCTACTACTGGCTCCACTTGTCTGTGTTTGAGCATTTGGTGTGAATACAGTATGAGAAAGTGCATGCACACACACATATACAAAGAATATGGTCCAAATGCCATGACATTTTGCCACACATGGATCTTCTCCATTATTCATGAAGCGAAGAGCGGTTAACTGAACAGACAACAGAATCTCTCTCTCTCTCTCAGAAGTTTAGGTTTCAGTAAATATTTGCATAAAGTGCATTCATGGACTGTAAAAATCACAGTTATTGCCAAGGCTATTTTCTGTCATCAAAAGAGAGCTGAAGGTTTAACTGGAAACTGTAATGAGTTTATGGCAGGCTATGTTTGGCCCTGAGTGGACTATAAATAAGCCACAATTCTTATGATATATTTTATCAATGGAAACATAAAGTGTTCTATTTTAATGTGTAATAAAACTCCATGAATAATGAATATTCATGTCAAAAGGACACATTAGATAAAACAAACTGTGCAGATATATACACAGCACAGTGACAGTGAAAAGATTATAAGGAGATAATGAGAAAACGAAGGAGGGCGAGGAGCAGATTGAGAAAGTGGAGCAGAGGAAGCGACGCGGCACAAAGTCTCAGGGGGAGTTTGGCTGAACGTGCAGAGGATGAGATGAGATTGTTGGAGGAGTGAGTTGCAGAGATCGTGTCAATCAAGAAAGAGTTTGATCGGGACAAAAAGGGGCTTTGAGAGTCGACTGCAGAATGGTGGAGCAGAAACAGAAGAAAGCTACGGAACTCAATTCAGGGGCTGCATCCTACAAAGGAAACGACGTAACCAGTCCATTAAGAGCTGAAATGAGACGGTCTGGTCTACAGAGGCTTTTTGATCGGAATTACCAAGCTCATCCCGACCTCAATTTGTGCATGACAAGAAAGTTTTAACGCCCTTTGTCTTATTTGTCTCCAACATCTATAGCCGTTAGCTGTTCAACTGAGTTGAAGCGTGATGAAAGCGTGACATCTTGTTGCTTGCTGGGACCATTACCTCTTTGAGCATTGAATCCTGGGATAGATTTGGCTAGAAAGGTTCTACCCGTTGGAGGCTTAGTTTCTCTGGGATGGAAGGACACATTTGTTACTGCCGTGACAAATGTCTGCCGTGACGCAATCAGTCTTCAAATGTAGAATCTGAAGGATGCAGCCCCTGACTAAAAACAAATTCAATGAAGGCAGCCTGGTGTGAAGAATGTGTAGTGGATAACCAAGGCTACAAAGAATGTTTTAAATGCTGTTGATAGCGCAGAGAGGGCATGGCTGACATTGAAAAGGAAGAGCATTATCAGGCGAAAAATAAGTCAGGTGAGAATGAAAAGCAGTCACACTTCAGTGAGATCTCATTGAGAAGCTGCAGGCTGGGAGAGTCGAGTCGGCAGGGAACAGGAGAACGAGGAGACTGAAGAGGTGGAACAGCCTCAAACACCTAAACTCTACATAGACCTGACTGGCAGAGAGGAGCAGACACTTTAAGTTGATAAAGAGCAGAGATGTTCAGTCAAATCAAGCAAAGGAAAGTAAAATAACTCCAGACTCAAGGTGATGCCCAGTCTCAATGAATGCCTCTAGAAGACCAGTCAGGTCATTACCCTTTACCTCTGAGAGCAGCAGCTACCACCGCCGTCCATTATTCTGCTGCAGCTGTCCGACAGAGCGGCCTTTAATGCTTTCAAAAGGCCTCGTCTGTTCAGAGGTCAAGTGTAGGAGCAGCTGAGACCAGGCATGATGTCTGTCAGAGGGACAAAAAAAGGTGGGGGCTGAACATCGTTTAAATTTAACCAAATAAACTGTAGCAAGCTCAACTTCAACAGAGCGACCAGGACAGAGCTTCAGGCCAGAGATATAATTGCTTTTTATCCACGCGTTTACTTACACAACCAACCACTATGAGAGGAATCGTTCATGTACTTTCTATGTACTATGCCTCTACCTTGCATATTACTGGAGTGTTCTTGATCTAAATTGTGTAACATAAAAATGGCATCACTGAAGGAGCTTAGCTTATGGTTACTATATATAAAGTTTACTACTCATGCTTACTATCCTATCAATACAGGAGAAATGACAAAAAATATCTTTAAACTCTCAGGAATGTTCCTGATTAAAATCGGTTCTTAAAAAAGCATTAAAAGTCACAAAAGATCAGGCTGATAAAACAGTTTATAGCAAAAAGATGAAGTTCAGCCAGGCTCTTGTTTCAGAAACTTGAGAACAAGTGAGATTAAAGTTTAGTGGGAGAGAGATTAAAAAAAATCTTTTTAAAAGAGGCAGCACAATTTGTAATTCCTGCTCTCAAAAAAGAAATGCTGATAAGAGAACTGCACCGAGTCTGGGCAGGTCTTAGGGATGCGAAGTGAAGCAGCAGGGAGACAAGGATCAGCTGGATAGAGTTAACACCTCAAGAACAAACAGTCAAAGAGGACATTTTGAAGAAAAAACTCAAGACACAGAAATAAACAGCCTCACAACAGAAAATCACACAAATAATCAATGGTAATCTTGTTTTTCCTCCCTCCTGTGGTTTAAATTCTCACCTTGCTACAGGGATATTGAAGTAGAAGTCAGATGGGGATAATGTGGCTCTACACTTTAAACAGAACAAAGAGCAAACACCTTTTTCAAACAAGAGAAAACCACACAGCTCGATATCGTCACTAATCTCAGGATTCTGATTCAATTCACGCGGTTTAGGGGTTAGAGTGGGTGTTCCACCAATCGCTAGGTTGTTTGGTCAATTCCTCCAGTCCACATGTTGAAATCCATGGGAAAGACACAAAATCTCAAGTCTGAATGTAAACTGTATAACTGTATATATTTTGACTGGTTACCTCTGCAAAGAAAGTTATGTTTTCACCTCTGTCCATTTGTTAGTTATTTAGCACTTAAAGTTTGTTTGTGAACAAGATTTAATAAAAATTACTGGATGGATTACCACAGAACTTGGTGTAAGGAAGCAGTATGGTGCAGATTAAAATCAAGAAGTGGATCTAGGAATAGCAAGATAGGGTGTTTTTTTTTTGGCATTTTAATCGATTTCTCAGGGAATAATTCTTGGAAATAGATGAAAAAAACATTTAGGAGACTGATACCTATGTTGGGCCTTGGCAGATGTATGTTAGTGGTTCGATGATGGTTGGTGGTAACATTAAATGATGTCGTTCTCAGGCTTTATCTAATTCAATATGTAGGCACCACTGCTGTTTCCTTGAATATAAAATGATGCATAATTACACTTGGCAAATGCAAATAATATATTTTTTGGCTTAGGAGTGCATGCATTGAGCAAGAATAATAGATAAGAAACCAGGACCACTTATAAGGGTATTATGATTATGCATATAAGTAACTGCTAGACATGGACCGTCGGTGGCAGTAATGACTGTTTGAAGTGCACTGTAACGACCACTTTGAGCACAGGAAGGACAGAATCCGACAGTCCGCCCACTGATTAATCTGCACTGTTTGTGGTGATGGCTGCACACTGAGGGTTAGACAGTGTTAGCGTTCCACACGCTGGTCACTCGACCTCCACCCCGCCACGTCTCATAGCTGGAGACATTATCTCTTCATGTGGAGTAAACTCTTTAGAGAGTGGGAACTCAGAAAGCAGAAGATTAATGACCTTTAAGACAAATAAAATATTCAAGTCAAGACATTTATATAATTTTCCTCAATAAAGATGCACAATTTTCCCAATTTGCTCGTGGGGTTCTCTGTACTACCCTGGCAGGTAATCCTAGGCAAAATAACTACTGGTATTCATTATATGTAGGCGAATGTGTGCGTTGATGTATCTGACCTCCCCAGTCTCAGCAGGACAGTGTGGCCTGCCCTCTTAAAGTAGATTAGCTTGAAAAATAACTGAATGCACCACGTTGCCTGGATACAAAAAGCATCATTAAGCACAATTATCAGCCACTTCTGCGCACAATGAACAAGCTTCATCACAGATTTCAAAACAACAAGTCATCAACGACAGCAACCTATACGGAGCAGAAAAGATGAGGAGGACAGCGGGTGTAAGATGGTGGGATGGAGGAGCGGAGGCAGATAAAGGTGGAGAAATGTAGAGCGTGTGAGGATGAGGAATTAGAAACATTAGAAATGACAGGTAGACCTTTTTAATATCTGCATGTAAACTCTCATATCCTTTTTTGTTAAAATACCAGAATCCAGATGATCAAAACATTTCAGGGATGAAATTTGCAGCAGAGAAAGCGACAAGACAGCTTTTCATTGGTCTGCGTGGACCATCGTGGGAGTATTTGATCAAGAAAACACAGTTGGGGTTAGAGAGCATGAGACAAAAAGAGTGTGGCCTTCATTCATTGCTCCTCGTTACGCTGTGTATCTCCCTGAAGGTAGAGCAGGCTGTAAATTAAACAGAGACTAAAGAACTTGTCCACTGAACCATCCAGAGCAGACAAACAGAAAGAAGAAGGAGGACGAGGAGGGAAAAAAAGAATAAAAGAGAGGGCATAATTGGAGATGAAGAAAGCGAGTTTGGGGACAAGAGCGGCTGGCTTAAACTTCAAAAGCCAAATTACACAATAGGAGATTAAAAAAGGTTCTGGAGCAGACTCAGAATGGAACACTGGTGCAACACAAACACAACTGTTACAGGGTTTGTGTCGGTTTAAATAAGTTAAATTTAAGACTTTTTAAGACCATAGCCTGATAAATTAAATTTGAGATTTATGTCAGGTATGACATATATGATGAAATATCAGTCAGTTAGCTGCTTGTTATGGTATCTTTTATAAGTTGCTCTTAATAAATATTAACTAAAATAAATCATTAATAGATGACAAAGAATTTTAAAGAAAATTAAAGGAAAAATCTGTTTCTTTTTACTGTGAGAAATTATTTCTTACAATTACAGGTCACTCAAAACTTTTGAGTCCCGTTTCTTGCCCTTCAGTTGTTCATGTTTTGAATAATTAACTCCGCCGAATTACCAAGTACCCATTACTGTTTGCAATATACCCTAAAACATACTGCTAACGTTTAAGGAATCGCTGTGATATTGAAGAAAACATAAAAATCCGATTATTCTCAATCAAGTTCCGGAATTAGAAGTGGTGTGTTTTCTCCACACTTTCAAAGCGGAGGTGGAGGTTTATTTGCACACTTCCGTCAAATATAAAATTGTCACCGTAAAATATAAGTCCCACTGAATCTAAACATGTGTGTTTCGCGTCTTTTCGTTCAGATTTGACTCAGTTATAACTCCGACATTTAGCGCTAAATAGTTTGAAGCTGCCTACCTTGAAGCCCGTGTGTCACTTCCGGTGCTTCAGCTGCGGCCGCTGATGACGTGGATAATGAGATACATTTAAAAAAGTGTTTTTACACCGTGTTTCTGCATCTTATCACACACTCTGTGGTTTCTACCCGATCTGACTGTTCACAGGTGGAACAGCTGCAAACACTTTATTCATTTGTATGTCTAATTTAAGAAACAGAGCTCAATATCCAATCTGACGTTATCTCTAGTGTTAAGGGCCCAAACATTTATTATCTCCAGCAGGGATGTTGTCACCCCTGTCTATTTGTTGGTTTATTTATAAAAAATATTCCAGATGAAATTTAACAATTTCCATGACACTTATCATCACTTTCTTTAACATTGTGAACTATATAAATATTTGTTTACACTTTCACAGATTTTCCAGGGAATAATTCATGGTTCTTGGTGAAACAAACGTATTTCTAGTTTGCTGGTTGGTGCGTTTTTGTTTGATTGCAAGATCACCTAAAAACAACTGAATGGATTTCCATAACTTGAAATTTTCCCAGTTTTCCCAGGGAATAATTCATGGATCTTGATTAAACAAATTAGGCACATGTTTAGGGGACTGATATTTATGAGTGTGTGAAATCTGGTGCAGCTTGTTTGGGTTTAAAAGGGGGTGTGGGGCCTTCTCTGTTTACTCAAGTCCTATATGAATATAACATGTGGCCAGGCACACATATGCCATGTGAAATGAATAACCATGAAGTGGAGAGGAAGAAGCTGGCAGATAAGAGAGAAATGTGTGTGTGTGTGTGTGTGTGTGTG